CCTGGACAAGCATTCTGAATTTGGTTTTTTTCTCATTTTTTTTTCCATTGCGTGCGGGTGTGATTTGGGCCCCGGCCGTGGGGGCCTCCATCCTGGAAAAAACACAAATTCCCTGAAGCATTTGGGAAAAAATCAAAAAAATGGAAAAATAATGAAAAAAATGGAACCAAAAATTGAAAAGAAATGGAACCCAAAATGGGAAAAAAATGAGATGGATCGGGGCCGCACGGGGACTGTGGGAAAAAAAATGAAACAAAAATCAAATGCCAAGTGCACCCTGCAACCAAATCGGAGAAACATTGAAGTCAGAATGCCACGGGATTCCAATCCCATATTTTTTCCATTTTTTCCCTTGGCTTGTTTGATTGCCTGAGTGCCTCGATTCCATCTGCAATCTCAAAATAATCCCATTATTTATTATTTCCCGAGATAATAGCGTTAACAGGACCGGGACATCAAAATTTTAGCAGTTTCCCCGAGCTCGCCTGGGCATAGGAGAGCCACCTTACCTTTGACCTCATTGACCCTGGCCATGTCCATAAGCACGGTGGCCTGGTCGGGGTTCTTGACAAGGATGCGCTCCGCCTGCAAAGGGATCTGTTCCTGCATGCGTCGCCTTGCTTCCCCGGCGGTGATGGCCTGCACTGACCTGTCCACCAGCCAGCCTACCTGATCCTGTGCCTTGCCTTCACCTGCTGCTTTTATTCGCGGGGCCCAGCTGGCATAAAAGGACTGCTTGGCGGCACTCGCATCAGCTTTGGCCTCTGCTTCTTAGCTTTTGCCTTTTGCCGCCGTTCGGCCCTCCCGCTTTTTAAGGAGCGCCCTGCCTTGGCTGATTCAATGACGCTGCACAGCCGGTCACAAAGGCCGGATGGGCCTTGCTCGGAGGCCCGGCCGACCAGACGCGCGATCGCTGCCAGCAACTGCTTTTCATCAACGCTGTTCGAAGAGGGCCTTCCCTCACCTTTGCCCTTGGCCTTACCGGCCTTGCCTGCGCCTCCCGCCGGCGCGGGCTTGCCCGAGCCTTGGCCTCGAACCTGGCCTTCGCTGCCTGAGGATTGAACCTGTTTGCCTTTGCCTTTTGCTGCTGCCGGCTGGCCTTCGGCAAACTTCTCCACAAGCTGCTGGAGCGCCTTCAAGAAGGCACCCTCATCCCTGCCCCCTCCGCGCGGGGCGTGCGCAGTACGCGGAGTTGATGTAAGCAAGCCATCGCTGCGCACAAGGCTTGCGCGCTGGATGTCACTCACCTTTGTCCTCGAGCCGGTCATGCCGGGCGGTTGCCCAAACAAATTCTCTTGATGCCCATGGTCTGCGAGTTCACTGCTACGGAGGTTCCTCGCAAGACAGCCGGCACCACCAAAACCAAAAGATGAAAAATTCAGCCCTTGCTGGCTGAACACCCGGAACATGGTGTCCTTCTTCCGCCGTCGTTGCTTCTGTCGTTGTCTGGCTCTTGCTTTCCACTGGCGCTTGAAGAGCTGTGTCCTCCTCCGCTGCACTTGGTGGCATCGGGGACTCGTCCTATGCTTGGGCCGCCTTGGGAGGGTAAGCCCCGTCTCCCACGCGCCCCCATCACGCAGGACCAAAGCCATGAGCACAATGAAGGCCCAGCTCCACAGCCACGACAGAAAACTGGGCGCCTGGCACTTAAGGGGTCCACGCTGCAGCCACTGATGCAGTGAGGTCGGCCTCCCCAGGCCCCACCTCCCACAGCCAAGAGCTGCAATGCCTCGCCTCCACCGACTTTTGACCTTCGCCACCGGGCTGGCAACCAAGGGCCACGGAGGGGCCCCCGGCGCCGCACATGCCCTCGCATCCACTGGGCTGGCAACCGAAGGCCACAAAGGGGCCGCCAGTGCCGTAAGCGCCCTCTCATCCGTCGGGCTGGCAACCGAAGGCCACATCGGGGCCGCCAGCGCCGCAAACGCCCCCGCATGACCACCACTATGCAGCCGGGCGTTCTCGAATTTGCTGTTGCTGACCAGCACCCCAGCTGGCCCGCAAAATTCCTTCACTTTCTCCTTTTGTTCTTTGATGCTCTGTACCGGTAGGGCACCGGCCCGCTCATACCACGGGGAGGTGCATCCACATGAGCCATCATCATCATCGTCATCACCTCCGCCACCGTCATCGACAGAATGTGCTGCACCGTCGTGACGATGCCGGCAGCTGCCACAGAAACAGAAACCACCACAACGAACAGGCTTCGGTTCTGCACTACGACCGATCGCATCGTCACATGGGGATTGCTGAACACCTAGACCTAGCAGCTAGCAGCTCATGCACCATCGTTACAAGACTCACAGCAGTGACAGCTGAGATCTGCCCAGGGACGCAGTTCTCGCCATCCTCCTTCAGAGCCGCGAGGGCGGCCTCGTTCTCGGGGTCATCGGTGACCCCCCTGGGCGCTCTCCACTAGAAGTTTGAGATGTCAGCCGGGCTCTCGTCATGCAACTCTCACACAACAATCCACAATGTAGAGCAAAGCGTTCACTTGGGCTCGCTGCCCGGAACAAGCTCTGATATTCCGCCTGCTTTCCCTCTCTTCCCTTCAGTGCGAGGGGCGGATAGCACAGCTTGTCGCGCGGGCTTCCGAATGGCCTGCACGTGCAGGATGCGGTGGCAAAACCGCAACACAACACTATCAAGGCTCAAGCTTTGGGGTGCTCTGATTCCGAGTCGTGGCCTCATGAACTCGCAGCCGGGCTCCATGACATCGCCACCCGGGGGCGCGGGGCAGCCGGGAGGCGTCAAGGCCTTGCCTGCGACATGAACTTCCAGAGTCCGTTGTAA